TGCAACACTGTTTCCTATCTTCTTGAAGTGGGACACAAACATAAAATATAGTAATAGTCATTAAATATATTCTTAATTTTTTTAAAAGATAAAATCTCCAAACATCCACCTAAACAAAACAAATCTTGCCACCATCTACTTTGTGTCGTCAGCTTGTCTATTTTGGTTTTATATATAATGCAAGTTGTCCACCCTAATTACAAGTCCTGAGGTTAGGTTTTATCTGGATAAATTTAGGAGTTTGTTCCAAGTTTATCTTACAGAAAATTTATGATGGCACTACCACAATTTCAAAATGGTAAGGCCAAGAGTGCTTTTATTTACATCAGATCATTGTCATTGTGATCTGGTACTTTTTCTGTAGTATAGCATCATGGGGAATAGTTTTAGGGTTTGTTTCAAAAACAAAATTAAGAAATGAGTTTCAAGAGAAAGATATGGTGGCTAAATTTTAAAAAAATCTAGTATACTGAATGAATGTTACCTTGAAACCTTAGAAAATATTACCTAAAATAAAGGGAAGAGATGAAATTTGATAAATACAAGTTAGACAACCTGAAAATAAATCAACTCCTTGTTGGTAGGAGAACAGTCGCATTCAAAAAGAATTCAAGGGAGACCCCGGTGACAACTGAGTATGTGAGAGCAGCAGCTATATACTTTTATCTCCATTCCCTCCATCTCATTTACCAACTATTGAAAATACTGCAGTGACCAGTTACAAATAGGATTCCGATTTTAAGATGAAAATGTTGATTTGACAATCTAACATTTCCCCTCTTTTTAATCAAGATATAAAGTCAGCAAGTGCCAAAAGGAATTATTTTAATGGATTTCAGCCTCATTGGGCTTAAGGCACTGTCTCTCGAGACTACTTATAGAGGCAGATGTCTACATTTTGAACTGGAGACAAAATGAGTTAAAGCTATTCCACCTGCCTCAAAGGAGTTAAAAATCATTCTGAACTACCCTGCTTCATACTGGCCTTGGGCTTTATTTGGAGACACAGCAGTTTTATTAGATACAGCATTATCCTCATTTGGGATTTGCATGAAAAAAATATAGTAGACCAAGGGTATCAAACTGCCGGCCCTGGGCAGTTTACATCATATGGAGGCTGCGCCCACCCCAGCTCCAGCTTCACGATATGTCACATGACACAGCAAGTCTGACACCCGTGTAGTAAACAAAGATTTCTTAAGCTGAGCTCAACCTCCGGTGTTTATGTGGGAAAGTCCATGTAATTTTCTTGGCAATTATATGGAAGTATTTGCTATAAGAGATGTGAAAAACATCCTGGGAAACCACAGAAAGTGCTGTTTCTCTGCCATAGTGTTCTAATCTGTTTCAAGAGTGGCCCAGCAATTTTCATAAAGTAAATCCACTTTATGTTCAGTTTACTTCTGAAAAAATGGTTACATCACCTCCTAGATTTAGTCATTTTCCTTTGGAAGAAAAATAGAACATTTAATTCTGGTCTAGCCTCTAACTTTCAGAGCTGCAGGTGGTCACCCTTCATGTTTTGTACACACATACAAATGAAAAGGAAAAAAAGCTGTAATGCTACAAACCTTTTGCTTCATTCATTGGTTTAACAGATAGTTTATTGTCACTGCCAGCATGAAAAGGTCTCTTATGAAAGAACTGATGGATTTCATTATGGGGTTGCGTGGGAAGGAATATTGTTTAAGCAAGCAAGAAAACATAAATATTTATACTATAAATATAAATAATATGTTCATATTATATAAATAAAAATGGCAGCCTATACCACTGCTTATAACACACCTGGGCAAGAAAAGCCATAAGTGTAGCTCGTTTCAACCTATAGTAAAAAAATAGAAATTACCCACAAAGTGACTATACCATTTCCTAACACCTAGATATAATCAGTGGTTGTCAAACTTTCTTCACCACAAACCCCCTTTAAATATGTCCCAAGACTTAACTCAAGATTTAAATCACAGACCCTGTGATGATATTGCAACCCCCCAGAGGTCTGTGGACCACAGGTTGAGAACCATGGGATAGACAAAAAAAAGTACGATATTACTGCTTGTAGCCTATGGTTTACTTTTGGAATTCAGTTTACTTGTGGAAGTTACCACCAAAAAAACCAAGGTGACTGCCTACTTTGAGTGAATTTAAACTGTGATTATAAGTAATTATGTAAGTTATCCAGAGATCATTAAGAAAATTTTCATAAATAATACTAATTGTTCTACAGAAAACAGTAATATGATGACTGTAAAGTCTTTTAAAGGAATGTCAACATTTCCTAAATATGTTTAAAAAAGTAGTTTGGAATATTAACCCACATTTTAACATTTATATTAAAATGCCATTTTTCAGTGTAATATGATATTTCCTCCAAACTAAAAATATGAACCAAAGGGAGCATAAAATTGAGATGCTAATTTCCCAAGGGATGAATATTAATGCATTGGAAAATAAGATCTATATTTCTCATGCATTACACTGGGGTAAAAGCCAAAGCTCCATATTGCAAAACTCCTAGGAATCTTACTATAATAAGAGACTAGACAAAGAACTTTTAACAAAGCAGGAAGATTTTTTTAAGAAAACAGGAATGCTGGCCCAAAACTAAGAGACAGAAAGTAAATTCTTTAAATGTAACCAATTTAAATTATATTTTGTCCAAGCACTGATGATATTCATTAATGACAAGAGAATAAGCCCTACTTGCTTAGATCAAAGAATGAAAAAAAGAAACATGTTAAACAAGACCCAGGTTTTCTCAGATACTGATGCTAGAATATTTCAGTTTAATAAAAAAAACAATTTGAAAATTAAAAAGCCAAGGCTGTATATCCTTTATAAAGAAATAAAATAAAAGACTGAGATGAACAATTGGAGACATATCTTTGAAGTAATTCCAGATAGGAGGAATCCTCAAATAATCCAAACTAATCTCTTAAACCATGGAGACCATTTCTTTTTCAGCAAGCCCTTCCCCATGACCTCCCCCACTCCTGGGTAGATTCCACTGATCTGGTGCCATTTAGCCATGGTTACTTTCAGGCATAGGCTGTACATGACAATCAATTCTCTACAGATGCTTAATTTACACAGAAGTACTTCTAGAATTCCCTCAGGGCAGGATATGTTTTGGTATGTTTTTAAAACATGAACATTAATTTCACATTTTAAATTGGCAAATGGTAGACAGATCACCAATTCACACTAAGACATTAGACATCCTCAGGAGTTTAATTCAGCAAAGAATGTCTGTAGATGCTAATAACATTTATTATGTTATTAGCATCTACAGTCATTCTTTGCCGAATTATTAATAGTAATTGTTTTTATTCAATGTTGAGTTTCAAAATAGGTTGCCCATTTTTAATGATTACAAAAATCTCTTTAAGACCATACCTTAGCATTTTAAATTTCCAAAGTGATATTTCAAGCACTAGACTTTTATAATCTCTTTATTATTTTTCCTTTTAAAACAGACATGTCAAACTCGTGACATCACATGATGTCGCACAACATATCGGGAGTTTTGCCATTGCCGGCAATGGGGTGGGTGCAGCTTCCGCTTGACGCATCCGGCCTGCGGGCCAGCAGTTTGACACCCGTTAAAAAATATTTATTTCTAGATGCTTTTTTCTCAAACTACATTCTTTTGAAATTGAAAGTAGAACTCATTTGTTTATTCAGGGATACAATTCTACCTTCAAAGAAAATGAAATTTGCCCTTCCAATTGTCACCAGTCCATAGAAACAATAAGGATCAGCCATTTTAAAATATAAAGTTTGGAAAAAGATCAAGTGGAGCAAGTTGAGAATAGGTACAGTATTCATAAAAAAGAAAAACAAGACCCCCCCAAATGATTAAATCCAGATATAGCCATACTGCATCATAAAATGCTGTTATCAATGGTTTATGCACAAATGCTCAACAATGCTGCTATACTGCAAAGATACTTTTTGAAAGTTGATGACTTGAGTTGATATCCCAGCTCACTCAGGAGTCATTATGGGTTGCCTTCAATTAGACCTGTCTCTCCCACTATCTGTATTCTTCTAATAGATGACTCATTATACTGATTGTACTTATATAGTCATATGAATTTTTATAAAGCTTGTCTTAGACTAGGCACACAAGAAATGCAAAATTTCCAGAAGCATTTCTTTGTAGACACTCTGAATTACACTTTGAGAAGCCCTAATTTTAAGTGTGGTTTTCCAGCAATTCCATCTATCAAATAACTCTTTTGTTATATGGAAACAATCACACCATTTTCTGTAGCCATCTGGAACCAAACCAACTTTGTTGTTTACAATGTTTTTAAACATGCTTGTGGTGGGATCAGCTGATTTGATTCAACATATTCCGAGAAATCACTGGGTCAAAGGCACATTTAGCTGGAATTTGAGGACATTTAAAATAGCTTTCCAAAACTTCTCAAAAAGTCGTTCTAAGGGACAATTCTCCATCTCACAGATTACAAGTCAAAAGTGAAAGAGCAAAAGAAAAAGAGAGAAACAAAGAGCTCAGAAGCAATTATAACTAATACCGGATATGATTTGATTCCCTAATAAGAACATTTAAGCATTTTCCTTTGCATATTATCAAACGCCCCGGGGAAGAAAACTTGTTTTCTGAAATATGTTATGGTATACAGTATTAAATTTAAAGCACGCATTAATAAATGTAGGCACCGTTATTTACTTTCTTTAAATTGTGGATTATCTGTCTTTAATATTTTTTTTAAAAAATAGCAACGATACATTTCACATTTAGGTAGCACTCTATAAAAACATCAGCAATCCTTATAGGAACTTCATGCAGCACCTCCATTTCAAAGCCTTAGAAACCGGGCCATCTTAGAGCGCGGCAGTTACAATCTCTCTGAAGCTAGAATTGGCCCCCGATTGCTTTGATGAAGAGGAGACTCGCTCACAGCAGGTATTTCCACCCCACCCACATCCCAAATCCCGCGGTCGGGAGTTTCTTCCCTCCCCCCACCCCCGCCGCCCCCTAATCAGCGGCCCGAAACCCGCTAGGCCACTTTGGGCTGGCCCTTGGCTGGGGCCGTAAGCGGCAAGACGGACCCAGGGAGTGACTCAGCATGTCGGTAGCGCCCCGCGTGCTACTCCCGCAGCCTTGTCATCTCTCGCGGCCAATTCCAGGAAGGCCGCCAGGGAGGAAAGGGGTGGACCCGCGCAGCCATCGAAGGAAGCACGCAGAGGCTTTATTCTTCCAGCAAGTTCCGAACCCCCCCCCCAAGGGAGGGGGGAGGAGAGCCAGACAGATCTATGCATGCTGGGAAACGGAGTTTTCTTAGGCCGCTCCATCCAGAACTGGTTTTTCTGGCCGTTTTTCACCCTGCAGGGGCCGCCCAGCATGCCGGCCTTTGTAGTCTTTTCGCGCCGGGTGGCCGCAGGGCATGTCGGGTGCGGTGGTTCCTCGTTCCTCTGTGGCGGCGGTTGTCGCATCTCCGCAGCCGACGAGGGCCGCGGCTGTTGTAACCGCGTCGGCTCGCTACCTCACTTCCTCTTCCGGGCGCGCGGCCGAGGAGGAGGCGGTGGTGGTGGTGGCGGCGGCGACGGCGGGTCAGTCGGTCGATCTGTCGGAGCCGGCGACGGCTCTCCTCCTTTTCCGCCTCCTCTCCGGGCCGAGGGGGTCAACTACGGGGTTTTCTCTCCCCCTTGCCGAGGAGGAGCCGTTTTCGCCACAGCCGCCGCGCGCGATGGAGCCGGAGTCGGTGATCGAGGATAAGACCATCGAGTTGATGGTGAGTGTGCGGGGCTCGCAGGAAGCCGGTGCGAAGCCGCTGCAGATCCTCTTCCTTTCCCTTAGGGCGCCCTTCGCTGAGGGGGGGAGGGGGACGCCACAACGGCGGCGTGGGGGGGGAAGGAGGGGGGAGAGAGAAAGGAAGGGGAGGCGCCGGCGCGGTGGGAGCTGGTCTTTGTAGGCCTCGATTTCGACAGAGGGTGCCTTTCCATCTCCCTCTTCCTTTGCTGGAGGGGGCGGGTCTCGCGCTGAGGCGCATTTCTCCCTCCCTCCCCCCCCCGTTTGAAGGACAAGAGCCTCCTTCCCTCATAAGAGTATAAAGGAGCCGCGTTGGATCCGGCTCCCTTTCTCTCTCTCTCTTTCTCTTCCGGTCGTTTCCTGTTCCTTGGGCCCCAGAGACTGAGAGGGAGGTCCGGCCTTGCTGGCTTCCTTCTCCCATTCGTCTCCGGCTGGCCTGTTTGCATCCTAAACGGCCGAGACAAAGCGGCGCAGGTGTCTGACCCATGTAGGTGCCGGGGGCTGGGCGTCGCTCTCCCCTCTTCCTCCTCCTCCTCCTTCATCTTCCCGCTCTGCAAAATGAAGGTGACATTCCCCGTAGGGATGCCGTGAGCGGGAGGAGTTAACCGCGTGATAAGGCGCCCACTTCCTCAAAAAAAAAAAAAAAAGTTTGGGGGGAGGGGTGACATACTTCTCTGCAAATGCTGAGAGCCAATCAGGGTCATTGAACGTTTATTGCATTTGGAGCTATCAGATGCTTTCTCCCCCCCCCCCCATCTTTTTCTGCCCATTAAAAGCAGAGATTTGGTGTCTTGGTACTGCTGAGTGGCCTAACGTGCCATGCAGGCTTCCAGTAAATAAATAAGATAAAATGTTCTGCTTCAGGATGGAATTTACTCCTTGCATTGTGTTAATTTCCAGCGACTTCTTTCACCAAATCTGTCTCTTGGACTTAGAAGTTCCCTTTCAGGTAGTGGAATATGTATCTGGAACCACTTGCCTTTCGATTTAATTGAGTTTCAAATTCAGAGCATTGATTGAGAGCTGAAATTTTCTAACCGCAGATTTAGTAGTGTTTTTTTTTTTAAATCATTTAACTCTTTGGGAATGCCTTAGATTAACCTGCAAATGGTCTGAAATTTGGACTTCTTCATAATGAGTATTGCATCTGTCACGAATGCATCTTTGGATGTATCATGATCTGAAAAAGGAATGCCTGTTCTATGAATGAGATTATCCAGTCTTCCAGAGTTTAACATATTCCTGATTAATTTTATTTGCATATTCACACATTAGTGATAGTCCCTACTTATTTTTATTAAAGTGTTGAGTAAATAAAATGCTGCAATACTTTTCCTTCAGACAGATTTTAAATGGCACTTTTAGAACAGAACAATTTAAATGTAAAAACAAATTACTTTACCACACAGCATTTTTTCCTGACATTTTCTTTGCAATCATCCTGGCTTTTAAAAAAAACGATATTCCTCCAAACTATGAACTGAAGCCAAAAATGCAATGATTCATAGGTGGCAGTATTGTATGATGGCATTTTCAGTTTGTTTCAATAAAGCATGATAAATCGGCAAAGATTGAATATTACACATTTGATATTTTTCCAGTTTTAATATGGCTGGATGCTATTTATAATTTTAAAATAGAATTATATTATACTTTGTAAGTTTATTTTCTTTTCAGTGGAAGTTTTCAAATATCAGTAGATCAAAAACAATTTTGTGGGTTAAAAGGCACATAAAAATATAATTAATTACAATATAATCAACTTGTTTTAATCTACATATAATGAATTTGTTTACCACAGCTGCTTGCTATCATTGGCATAATATTAGTGAAGTGCAGTATTACTGAACTCTATATTGTTGGGGAAGCCAGGCCATAGTAGGTAAAATGGCCTAAGGGTGATATGGCTATAGCAAATGTTGAAGATGTTTTTCTACTGTTAAAATATTCACTATATTGATTTTCAGGTGGAAATTAAATGTACATTTTTAATATAGCTTTGTAAAAACACTGTAAAAACATTTCCTTGAATGATTGTTTGTAGCCACTGTATTGCTAGATAATGACATTACTTGCGAATTATTTTGAGCTACCAAAGAAACTGTCAACATGAACTCTCCAAAAATTCTATTCATTGTGCTTCAACTTATTCTCTTGTGTTATTTTTCTGTTTCTTCCTCCCTTATTGTTGATCAGTATGAGTTTCACAGATCAAATAATAACTATATTTTAGGATTTATACCACAAACTGATGGCATATTCATGCAGTACTTACAAGTCTGTGGTAAAGAATATGCTTTTAGTATACATAAATATATTGGACTTGTTCAAACAATTATATGGCTTGATTTAGTTTCACTGAGCATGGTGTGGGAACCTAGTATACTCATAAACTACATTTAATCGGACTGCCTTATTAGTAATGGTTATAAGCTGGTCAGGGTGATTCATCTTGGAAATGAGGAATTTTCTGACAATGAGAACAATTAAACAATGGAACAGTTTACCTTCTGGAGTTGTGGGTGCTCCATTGCTGGATGTTTTCTATGAAAGATTGGACAATCATTTGTCTGGGATGGTATAAGGATTCCTGCCTTGAGCAAGGGGTTGGACTAGAAGACCTTCAAGGTCCCTTTCAGCCCTATAATTCTATGACTATGGTATATGTGAATCCAGCTAACACCTGTTCATAATAGAAGTCCTGGGAAAGTTGCTAGAAAGCATCTTTGAAGAAAGTTCCTGGATCTTCCAAAAGGCTATGATCTGGTCATTGGGAGCGACATGTCAGGCACTGAACTATTGCACCAGTCATTGATACAAACAGATTTCTTCCTTTCTCCTTTTCAGTCAACTATATTGCAGAGACTAGTTTTACTCAATTTCCCCTCTCCTCCCCTTCCCCTTGGGAGCCAAATTATAATACATAATTCTGAAAGTTGAGAAATAGCTCTCATAAAATCCAACACTCCTCCTTTCTGCTTTGTGGATTGCATTTACAAAACAGTTGGGTTTTATAGCTTGGATAAAGACCTATGCTCATGTTCATATGATACTAAAAGTGTTAATGAATATTATTCCCATTTTGAGGGATTTCCCAAAAGCGGGTTACGACATGAGAGGAAAAGATTTGTAGTCCATTGAGAAGTAAAAAAAAAAAAAATGTGTAAATTTAGCCTTACAAAATAAAACTGAAAGTTTAAAATAAGTATATGGGTAGTATAGACCAGAATCCCCAACCTTCTTGGTTCTGTGGATCTGCAGCGGCAGCGGTTTCAGCGGCAGGGGAAATGATTTCACATGCATCCTAAATCCCGCACATGTGCAAATGAAGCTTTGCACACTCGCCCGCTGCTTTGGTGGCCCAGTTCCCAACAGGCTGCAGCCTGGAAAGACCTCTTGTGAATTCTTCCATCTTCATTTTGGTGAGATTTATTTCAATATTTTGGGAAAAAATTTTAAGAGCCCAGATTTTGCAGTGAAAAAAATACAGATAATGCTTTGATACCTGATTTGTATTTCTTTTTGATGCCAAGTGAAAATAATTTAAATAGATCATGCTACTAGATTTTACTATCTTGTCTTTATCCCAAGTCCTTAGTAGATGGTTGTTTTGCTCGGGACCTTAGTTTATAGTGGTGGAAGGCTCTGTGTATATGAAAAAAAGCTTGTGAAAGAATTTATGCTAGTATGATGTCAGCATGAATCTATATAAATATGAAACACTATGTTTTATAATTGAATAATCTATTACCCTTTAAAGCACCAGGCTTTACTTTGTGTAAAAATGTAGTCAGATAAGAAGAATTATTCTAGCAGAAGATACTAGGCAAGATAATTTGCCATTGCTGGTTGTCTGTTAAAATGGAGATAACTGTTGCCCTTGTTTCACTGTATTTGCATCCTACAACTTAGCTAGCTGTGGAAAAAGCTGGTCTACTTTCATCGACCAAAATCAGACATGATTTATTGCTCTACTAGGATATATAAGAATATTCTTCAATTGAAGTATTGACTTTTTTTTTTTAAAAAAGTTATTTTTATATAGATAACATTGAATTGTGTTTGCTTTGTTGCTTTGGTTAAACATGCTTTACGAGGAGAATAAAGGATAAACTTTAAAAAGGCTTTTCTAGTATAGAAAACATGAACTACTGCTGAAAAAAGTGGGAGAGTTGCAAGACAACGTTTGAATATAGCTGTCATTTTTACCCATATGTTTGTTGACTGAGAATGATGGCCAGGCTGTTGGCCAAACTAAATACAGAAAATGTGAAGATACAGTGAATTCATCCATGAAGATTTAATTGCCTCTTAAAAAACAATTACAGAAATTTATCCAATGGAGAGTGGGATCACATATTTGTGTCATTAGTTAGATGTCTCCTTAATAAAAAAAAATTGCCCAGATACTTTTTATCACATCCTATTCCAGTATTGAATAGCTCCCTCCTCCTCCCCTCCCCCCCTGAATTTTACAAACTGTCTTGCATAGTTCTTGTCTAAACAAATCTCATTAACTTTTTGAGTTCAGTTTGAAATGATGACAGACACCAACAGGAATGAAATCAATCTTATCAAATGTCTTTTAGGGCAAATGAGTCACACCCTGTTGCCATCTGGGATTCCTGCTTACGGTACCTAAAAGTTTGTTCAAAAGGCTCTTGATATCATTACAGCAGTGGTTCTCAACCTTTTTAATGCCGCGACCCCCAACCGGTCGTAAGTCGAGGACTACTCAACCGGTCGTAAGTCGAGGACTACTCAACTGGTGCAGCACCGTTTGCAGAATGGGACTTTTGGCGGGCTCAGCAGGGTTGAGAACCACTGAATTACAGGGAATTTCTTGGATCATCCATTCATTTCTGATTATTGAAGTACTGTAGAGGAAAGATCGCAACTGCTTAATGTTTTTTTTAGCACCTGTGACATACTGACAGTCTGTTTTCTGATACTCTCTATCTTATAGGAATGCTTGCTTACTAG